GTATATATTCAGGATTGATAATCAGAATCCTTCAAGTACAAAAAAAAAACTTAGAAAATAAACTTACCCAGATCACCTCAAAGCCTCTGGCGGTCTCTTTTCCGTCACTGTCGGCGAAAAATACCCTCGTCGCCAGCGACTTCCCGTGCTCCCTCAACAGATCTGTAGCCAAAATAGAAAACGCCAAAAATCAAAACCTAGAAAAATATCAGAAAACTATCGCTTCAAGAAAATCGAGGAAAAACAACATGAAAGCTTAATCTTACCTAGATCGAAGCCTCTCTAGTTGATTAGAGGCTCTCGGCTCGAGTTTTTGTGGTCTGCGGTGGTGGTCTCGTCCCTCCTTTTCCCCTTGCCCGAAACCAAAACCCAGAAAAATACGATATTAATCAGAATCTACAAAATGCTGAAAATATAAAGGAAATAATCATGCATGTACGACCCGGATCGACGCCCTCTTGCTTTCGTCTTGGCGGTGTTTGCCTCAAATGTCGCCGTCAGTGCCACCTCCTCTCATTTTGGGTTTTCGTCGCTTCAAGAATCAAGGAGAGAAACAGGTGGACAGATCCGAGAGAGGGGCTAATCGAAAGAAGGAAGAAGAAAGATTTCGTTTTATGGTGTTTAGGTTTCCCCTTCTTTCCTCTCGTCCCAGAGAACGCAGTGAGAAGGGAGAGGTGAGGGAGGAAGAAAGGATAACTAGAGAGAGAGGCGGTTGTTTAGAGAGGATAGGGTTTTTGTTTTCGGCATCAACGGAGAGGAAGAGAGGTGAGACGAGAGGTTTAGATAACGGGAGAGGGAGGAGTGAGAGGCGACTGCCGCTTTGGTTAGGCTTAAAATTAGGGTTCCATTCTCCCCTTAGAGATTATATATACCCTGAAGGCTTGAAAGACCGTACTACCCCTAGAATTTTCATATATTTTCTTCATTAACGGATATTTCCCCTTCTTTCCTCTAGTCCCAGAGAACGCAGTGAGAAGGGGGAGGTGAGCGAGGAAGAAAGGATAACGAGAGAGAGAGGCGGTTGTTTAGAGAGGATAGGGTTTTTGTTTTCGGCATCAACGGAGAGGAAGAGAGGTGAGACGAGAGGTTCAGATAACGGGAGAGGGAGGAGTGAGAGGCGACTGCCGCTTTGGTTAGGCTTAAAATTAGGGTTCCATTCTCCCCTTAGAGATTATATATACCCTGAAGGCTTGAAAGACCGTACTACCCCTAGGATTTTCGTATATTTTCTTCCCCTTGTCACCGCGTTTTTTTTCATTTACCAAAATACCTCTGTTTCTCTCTGTTTTCTAAAAAGAGGCGAAAAATCACCAAAATTGTAGTGAGCGATTTTCGAACCCTGGTTCTCGGGATCGAATGCGTACTACAGCTGGCGATTTAACCAGTTGAGCTGCTGGCCCATCATTCATTAAGTTAATCATTCCGTTTAACTTTATTGTTATACATCTATAGCACGAAATATTGAATGCGAATTAGGTTAATCTTGTTTCTTTTCTAATACATCAAATTTCCTCTTAATAATTGAAATCCTTTTATTCGCTTTTCATAATTTCATAATAATCAACTTAAATTTTATTAACAAAAAATCTTTGATTAACCATGATTAGTGAAACGTAGTAAAAAGTATATTTGAAATTATTAAAGTTCAACCGATAAAGTTCGAGTCCAACTAATCAACTAACTTTATCTTTAAATTTTATGTCACTGGGTGTATAATTAAATCTTAAACTAATACGATAAAATTATTTAATGGTCTAGTGGGACCCTAAAATTACAAAGTTATTACTAAAAATACACCCAACTCGTATAAAAACTTATCGACTTAAGTAGTACCAATTTAGGGCGTTGTGGGGGTGTTGCTTAACTTTCCCATACGTAACCGTAATCTCGAACCCATATCTCGAAATCGCAGACCAAGCCTCGGTTCTGACCCTAAGGTTAGAGCCGACCGAAGAGTGTTCGATCCACTCCTAGTAAGATCAATGGCGACTTCAAAAAGCGAACACGGCCCGACCCCGGAGGGACGATTGCGACAAGGAGTTCTAGAGAGTGAGAGAGTGATCTTGGACCTTAATTGAAGGCATTGATCAAGCTTGGAAGCAAGGAATCAAGCCTAGAGGAAGAAGAAGAAGATCTAGAGGTTTCTTTGTAATCTCTCCTCTCTCTAGAAACTCACCCTCTTCTCTTGGGTTTAAGAACACTAGGTCTAGATTCGGGTTTGATGTTGATGTTTGTGACAAACTCCATGTTTGATTGATGATTTTACTTAATTGATGGATGTTTTCATGAATGGCATGTGTTGTGTTTCCATTTCCATGTATTGAACTTTTGACCTAGGAGGGAGAATCCCCTGAGAGGCCCCTTTTGGCGTCTTCGGGTCACTCCTATCGTATATTGTCTGGGTAGTCCCTGAGGGAGTTGATTCAACTGGTCTCCAAGCATTATACGAACCCCTAGGCTGAATAGAGCACTACCCATCCATCGATTCTCCGTTCCGGGTCATTCCCGGGGGAGTCCATCTCTAAATGGTAATGTATTTTGGTCGATCGAGGTAGGAGGATACCCAACATCGATCCAAAGAACGGACCTAGGACGGTTCAACCCAAGAGAGCTCCAAACCTTGTAAATAGCTAGGTTAGTGGTTAGTCTAGGTTAGTAAGCTTAGTTTTATTAATCACTATCCTAGGTTGGCTAGATAATGAACCCTAAACATAGAGTAGGGTAAGCCTAGATCCCCGTTGTACGATAAATTCTTATTGCTTGCTTGCCCTATGCTACACGTGGTTGCCAGTTATACTTTGCGCCGTTGTCGGGGACAATGTGTAGCACGCCTCTCCACAAGTTTGACATTCTCTCGTCCGTCCTCGGCTTCCATCCATCTCGTGTTTCCTTCATGTACTTAGAACGGATCACTCTAGCCCAAAGACTTTCTGGTTCCTTCATCAATCGTCAAACAATCTTCATCATGAATGCCTCATTCATTCGCGTAGCGCTACGTATCCCTAAGCCTCCTTCCTCCTTCAGCTTGCAAGCGAAGCAGGGAGAAATGCAGTATGCATTGTGTAGGCCGGTAGCGAGGAAATAACTGATTGCGCGAGGGTGATCCCTGCCGCCATTGAGAGGGAATTGACTGTCTAGCCTGTTAGCTGTCTATCAATGCGATCAATTAGCTCGGTGTATGTTGTTTTTGAAACTCTGTCGTGGATTACCAGCACTCCCAAGTATCGACCCAAGTTTTTAGTTTCCGGGATTTCTAGGGCTACACTCAATGTCGTACATATTGTTATTTGTACATTACTTGAGAAAAACACCCTCGACTTTTGTCTACTGACCTATTGACCAAAAGCCAATCCAAATTTCTCAAGGCAATCATTAATCACCGCCGCCTGTGCCAAAGAAGCTTCGCCGAAGAGGATTAAAGTCGTCGGCGAAGAATAAGTGTGAAACAGCAGGGCCTCGCCCTGCCAGCTAGATCAGTTTCCACTCTCCCTGGGCAACTGCAGCGGAAATAAGGTGCCCAAGCCATTCCATACATAGTGTGAAGATGAACGAAGATAACGAGCAGCCCTGTTGGAAACCTTTGGACGGGGTAAAGGACTCCGTCAAACCACCATTCCACTGAATCTGCATGGTCGAGGACGTGATGCAACTCATCGTTAACTCTGTGAATTTCTCTGGAGCCCCTACACCCTGCAGTGTGTCACGAACAAAGCTCCATTTAATTATATCATAAGCCTTTGCCAGGTCAATTTTTAGCACCATCCATCCTACACGTCCACGTTTCGCTCGCATCAAGTGCACTACTTCCTGCAAAATACAGATATTGTCAATAATATGCCGCCCAGGAACAAAGCTCGTTTGTATATCATGCACTAATCTAGGCATGATCGGCTTGATCCTCTCCGCCAGACACTTCATAATCATCTTATACGCTACATTGCAAAGGCTTATTGGGCGAAACTGGTCGATGGTGATGGGACGTTGCACCTTCGGTATTAGTGTAATAATGGTGTCATAAATAGACTTGATCTTTGTCGGGTGTAGCCAGCAATCTTGCGCAAACTTACTAACATCGCGGCCGACCAAGTCCCAACACGACTGGTAAAATAGTGGGTTCAAGTCATCCTTGCCCCGAGATTTCAACGGACCCATCTGTCTAACTGTAGTGAGGATCTTCTCCGCCGTGAACTGGGTTGTAAGTGGCTCCCAAAGTTGTCCTGGCCTCCTGGGATAAATTCGAAACCCGATGGAATAGTTCCCATTGTAGTTCCGTCATCTGTATATAGTGTCGAGAAGAAAACCCGGGCTAACTCGAATAGGAGCGTCGGATCATCAACCCACTCGCCTTTGTTGTTCTTCAATAGAGATACACAATTCCTTCTATGGCGGCTCATAGTTCGGGAGTTGAAATATGTTGTATTCTTGTCTCCCGAAGTTATCCATTCTAGTCTCGACTTCAGGCACCAGAGAATCTCCTCTTGAAGCAAGATCTCCTCGAGTTCCTTCCTTGCCTAGATCAACTCTTCATTATCAGCGTCGCCTCCACCTCTCAATTCCAGGTTCTCGATGTGGGCAAGTAACTTATTCTTCTTTTCCAAAATATTAGCGAAAACTTTTTTGTTCCATCGTGTTGCCTCTCTAGCGAACTCAGTGATAGAGCTCAGTAGATCCGAGCCCCTTCCCCAAGCTAATTTTGCCATCTCCCTGAACTTCTCATGCATCAACCAGACCAAGCAGCAAGAAACTTGAAGGGTTTCGGTCTTGCTGGTTGGACGGATGGTTTTAGTGCAATCAGAATTGGACGATGATCACTCTTCACCTTTGGTAGATGTCTAACAGCAACCTCCAGGAAAAGTGACGACCACCTTGCATTAGTTAACCCTCGATGCAACCTCTCCTTTGTTCCTGCTCTAAACCATGTGAACGGGGGCCCTGTAAACCCCATATCATCCATTCCTTCATCAAGTATACAATCCTGAAATTCCTGAGCACGACTAGCATCAAAGGGTGCTCCCCCCCATCTTGTCGGACGGTAGTAGAATAGAATTAAAATCCACCGCTAGGAACCAGGGATCTCCCATGTCTTCAGCAATAGACCGTATCGACGCCAACAACTCTCTTCGCTGGACCAGAGCTGGCGAGGCGTAAACTGTCGTAAGGAACCAGGCATCTCTTCCTGTTTGTGCTCGAACATGAAGGAATTGTGGTGATCTATCCACTTCTGTAATGGAGACAATGGATGAGTCCCAAAGCAGCCAAATACCTCGAGCAAAACCCACTGCATCAACTATCAACCACTTGTCAAAACCCATCAACTGAACAACTTTCTCGCCGTCTCCCCACTGACTTTAGATTTGACTAAGATAGAAATACTCGGTCTGAATTTTCTCTTGTACTCTTTGAACACTCGCAGAAAGCGCTTGCTCCCTGCCCCCTGCAATTTAGGGGTCGTTTGCTTCAAGGATTTGGTACATGGATTTGGTACCAAAAAACCAATTATCAAGGATTTAGGTACAATCCGTTGTTTGCTTGCACCTTTTTTAGAGACCAAATCCGTGGGGCCCACGGATTTTAAGGGTCCAAATCCGTGGACCCCACGGACTTATAAATCCCACATGTTGATGTGGGATTTGGAATATGGCATAAATCCTTGATGACATTTTACCCATATACCCTCATGCACTTTTAATATTCCAAGGTTGCCCTCAAATTTAACTATTATACATTATAATTAACAATAAATGAATAATATAAACGTTCAATTAATGTGCAAACATGAGTTAGAAGTTAAAACGGAATTTTCTCGTTTATTATTATTGTCCATGTGGCAACATTATTATTGTCCATGTGGCAACATTACGTTAAAAGTTAAAACGGAATTTTCTCGTTTATTATTATTGTCCATGTGGCAACATTATGCTTATTAGTATGTATTGTCCTTGTTTTGTGTACATATCATAAACATGTCAAACATATAGAAAATGATAGTAAGGTAATTTTGAAGTTTTGTCCTTGTTTTGTGTACATATCATAAACATGTCAAACATATAGAAAAGGGCAATAATGTAATTTTTGACTTCAAGTAGTAAATCCCACACCTTTAAATCCATGATAAAAACATCCCAACAAACAAAGGATTGTTACAAATCCATGATGCCTCAAATCCTTGATAAATCCTTGGGTTTTTAAATTACAAAACCCTCGTTTATAAATCCATGAAGCAAACGACCCCTTAGTGTTATTTATGTTAAATAAGAACTTTCGTCGATTCATATGTTAGGATAACATAAAACTCTATGATATATGTTTCTTTCTTATTTTTTTTATTCAATAAAAAAAATCATTTGGATTTTTATGGTTCCAAATATAAATTTAGATTGCTTAATATAATTGTTATTGTTATTTATGCTATTTACGAAATGCATGCGGGCCTTGATCTAGTGGTTAACTAGTAACAATGTCAGTATGTCACCATTGTTACCCCGTCCCCCAGGGTCCAAAGTCGAAACCAGTTATAACTTAAAACCCTAACTCTTCACTGGAGGGCGGTGCGGATTCTCCGTCTTCAAGTAGCCAACTACTAGCAAAATCAGATATGACGCAATAACAGACACATCCTTATTTGCGAGCTTTGGCCGAATTGGCAGAGAGGTGAAGGAAGGACTACGACGACGAGGAAAGGGTCAAGGCAGTGAGCAGAGCAGACTGCGTCGAAAGGAAACCAACCACTAGATACAACGTTAAACGATGATTCAAGCACAACAAGAGACTGTTTGATAGGAGCAAGTGTCCGACGGTTTACAACACATGTATGAAGCTGCAGCCTGCAGCTGCCAAAAAAATGGTTTGACGTACCAAAGTACATGCACAACGTTCGTCTTCTTCGATCGAGCAACCCATAAGTTACTTAAGCCTGTAGAAATTCAAGAGAAGATAGAATAGTTCGTCTATGCAGATAGAAGTAAAACTTCACACAGAAATAAGGAACTGGGAAATGAAAAAATACCTGTTGCTTCTTCTTTCTTCTCTTCCTCTTCCTGCGTGGCTTATGAGCATCAGAGCCAGAACTAACATTACTGCTCTGGCCAGTGCCATTTCCATTCCTTCCATTTGAAAAGCCTCCACCGCCACTGGGTTTCAAAGAAGACGGCCCACTTCTGCTGCTGCTTGAAGTGTTACTGGATGTAGTAGATATTTCAGCCCTCTGTCTCCACGAATCTTTACTTGATAATGCTCCAAACCTCGATCTCCCATGGACTGTGTTGGAACCACCTGCGGAATTGCGTGAAGGCCTAGGAGGAGGCATCAGAGCTCTAGCAGATATATCCCTCTGTACAGCACCAGCTAAAAGTGAGAAACAGAGTCCAAATGACGGGGAAAGAAGAAGAAGAAGCATAGCAATACAATGAATGCACAATACAACATAGGTTTGGGCTCTGAAAGAAATAACCTGATTCTTTTCATCGCTTGACATACCAGATGCAGCTTTACCAGAAGTACTCGAAGCCTGTTCTCTGTTTAATACAACATTCAGTAGTGTGAGCTAACAAAGAGCTTTAGTCTTTCGTTTTCTTCTTTTGGAATATGAACATTGAGACTGATGTATCAAAGAAAGCTCACACCAACAGAGTACAGACTTGGAATCGGTACTGATTCCTTCCAGTGTTTTAAAATGTATGTAAAGGAAAACTAGGACTGATACGAAGATGGGCGACATTTTACCTCGTGCTTTTGTCTGTCCACTCATCATCTGCATCTGCTTCGTCACTTGAGCTTCCAGCTAGGAAGAAATCGTCCTCGCTGAGATCCAACAACCCATCATCCTCACTTCCAGTCTCTGACAGCACAAGTGGAGGACCCAAAAAAATAAACAAAAGAAACTGAATTCACGCATGTCTACAACAACAAGACAAGTTCTAGACAGAATAAGTAAGTTCACTTTTCTCTATTTCTGTCCTACGTCGAATCAACCAACAAGCAGAGAAATCTAAGCCTAAACCACCTACACATAGCATGATAGCAACATCAAGCAAAATACATCGGAAGTGTCAGTTCTAAGTTAGTTTCTAAACCAACCTTCCGAGATATTAACAGAGGGACAGGGCACTATGATATATTCCATACCACTTGCACATCATTATCCAAAAAAACATCAAGCATTATACATAGAGAGCGTCAGTTCTACATCTTGTGCTCGTTCCTAAACCTTACTTCCAAGGTATTAACTAGGGGCAGTGCATACTTAAACTTTAGGCAACAAACATACCTTCAAGGTCTTTCCCACTGGCTGCAGCAGCGATTAGGTTGGCTTTAATCTGCTTCCGCAACCCATTTCTCTTGTCAATGACCTCTGAATCATCACCTCCAGAAAACAAAGACACATATTTCTCGGTCTTGGGGAAGAACTGCAAAATTTTCAGTATAAAGAGTTCACTTCACCAAACGGTTCACTTCCTCTCTCTCAATCACAGAGAAACATTACAACACATTGCAAAGCACAAACACTCAATGGGCACACACACAAGCAAATTAGCAGAGCTTACTCTAACGTATTCAAGATCTTCTTTCAACTTAGAAAGCTGCTCAGCAGCCTGGGGATCTTGTGCCTGGCCGGAAGAAGCTCGCTGTTGCCTCTCCAATCGTCTGATTCTTCTTTCAACCTTTCTCCTCTCTGGATATGCAAGCAAACGGGAAATCAGATTAATGCTCCCAAAAAAATGCCAATACTAGGAAAGCAAAAACAACTCACCAAAGAACTTGATCTTCCTGTCTCGCAAGAATATTTTGCGCTCAAGAGCCAATCGAGTGTGGAGATCCTGCTGATTCTTCAGCCCTTCCAACTTCTTCTCTTGCGCCTCCCTGACCTCCGGCGTCAATTGCTTCACAGAAAGCACAATTCCGGTAAGGACATGCAACTCACCCACAAACAAACCCTAATTCTAATTCTAGGGACGGGCAACCACCACAAACGAGATTCCCTCCAACAAAACCGGGGGGAAATTAGTACCTTACGGAGCATGCGCTCCACGGAACGAATCTGGTTCTTGAGGGAGACGGACTTCGACTTGCCTTTTTTGTCGATTATTTTCGACCGACGGCCGACGGAAGGCTGGCGGCCAGCAACCCTGCGCTTGCCATAGCCGCCGTGGGCCATTCTCGCGGCTCTATATGAACTCGGCGGCACCAGAGAGCCGGGCAAAACGGGGAGAAAAGGAAACCGGACTCGAAATGGAGTGACAGACGACTGTACTTGTAACGCTCCCTCCCTCACCGCCCGACAGTGATAGCCATCCGTTTCCCCGTCGTCGTGCTTTGTACGGCGTTGGAATTTGACACCTCCGTTTCTCCCCCGTGTTTGTTGTGTTGCTTGCGGACTTGCGGTCAGTAAATAGTTAGGGCAAAAGAGGGCGAGGCGGTCAGGCACCCAAATTTGGGTCCAAGATAGGGTCAGTAACCACACGGGAGCCGTAGGATTGGGAATGGAGCAATCGTGTGGCTGGGCTGGATGTTGGGTGGGGAGGGGCATTTTTGTCCGTTTTTGTATTTTTAATTTTTATTATTCATTCCGCATTTCAATGGCTGACTTTTTTTTTTTTTTTATAATCAACTTCTGAAATTTTATTAATAGCTTGCCATCTCCTTAGTCAAACTGTCTAGGAGGAAAATAGGTGGTCTAGAGTCCAAGACCTCTTGGGTTTCCCAATTATATAGAGAGTGGGCCATATTATGGGCCAGACTATTCCCAGCCTGTTTAACAAAGCTCCATTGAATCTCCCCAACTCTTTGGGCCTCGGCCTGCAGTTCTTTGATCACATGACCCGTTTCCAGCCTCGAGTGATCCGCCCGGTGAAGCGCACTCTCCACCTGCAAGCAATCCATCTCCACCACCGCCCGGCGAAAGCCACCCATTTCCAGCTGCTTCAGGCCGAATTCCACCGCTTTCATTTCCGCAATTTCCGGTGGCCAGCATCGTCGCTCTCGCCGCACCGCAGCCCGAAGGAAGCCTCCGTTCTCGTCTCTCAGAACCATCCCCAGTCCCGTGCCCTGTCCTTCAATCACCGCCGCGTCCACGTTCGCCTTTACCCACCCAGTCGGCGGCCGCTTCCAGGTAACTGCTTCTGTCTCCTTGACCTGCTCCTCCCTTTTGTGGTATGACGCATACTCCTCCCAGTAGCTTAGAGCCCTCCCCACAACCTCCCACTCTTCTGCCTTCTTCCGATTGAACAATTGGTTGTTTCTCTCACTCCACATCATCCATAGAACCACCACGAATTGCTCTAGCACTGTATCATCTACCCGCTCCATAACTTCACACATCCAACCACACGACGACAATCCTAGCTCCTTCAATGGCTGAATTTTCAATGAAAGAGAGACAATGCATTTTCTCTGCAACTCAACTTTCTTCCTTCTCTCTTTTTTTCTTTCAATCTCTTTCCAGATCCTTTCTCTTTCTCTATTCCTTCTCTCTTACTTTTTCTTTCACAATCTCCTTTTCAAATTTAGATCTGCTCTCTTCCTTCTTCACTTTTTTCTCTAGCAATAGACGAATAAAAATTGTAGCCACTCTCTTTCTTTGCATTTCTTCTCTTCATCAACTCGTTGGCCTCAATTCCGATCTTTCTCATTTTTTTGGCATTTTGGTGTTCTTGATTGAGGAAGAGGAAATGAGAGGCATCAGAAGACGATTTTTTCTCTCCCTCCTTCTGTTTTTTTCCTTCCTTTTAGATAATATATATTGATATTATGACTCTATACCATATGGTATTAGGTGGTAACGAAATATATATTGATATTACCACACTATACCCTATGGTAATGTATGGTATTGCGTGGTAACGAAATATATATTGATATTACCACTCTATACCATATGGTATTGTGTGATATTACCATAATATACCATATGGTATTGTGTGGTAATGAAATATATATTACCACACAATACCATATGGTATTGGGTGGTAACGAAATATATATTGATATTACCACACTATACCATATGGTATTGGGTGGTAACGAAATATATATTGATATTACAACACTATACCCTATGGTAATGTATGGTATTGCGTGGTAACAAAATATATATTGATATTACCACTCTATACCATATGGTATTGTGTGATATTACCACACTATACCATATGGTATTGGGTGGTAACGAAATATATATTGATATTACCACACTATACCATATGGTATAGACTGGTAATAACTGGAAAAAAAATTTGTGTCAAAAAAATATCAAAGTGGATATCATTTTGAAGAGCATAATTAATCTGATCTAACTGTGCAAAAAAAATTAAATTTCGACTTAAAACGAGTAAGAAATCGTCCGTTAAAGATTAAGAGAAGGAAAATTAAAGGTTTTTCGATGAGAGAGAAGGAGGTCCTGATGTGGTCGGTCAAAAGTCAGCGCGTCAGCAATAAATATGGGATAAGTGCATTTTACCTTACTGCCCTTTAGCATTTAATTTAAATAAAAAAGTAACTGACACGTGGAGAGAGGAGAGAGGGGTTACTGATGGATTACTCACCCATTAGTTACTCAACCGATCTGCTCCCCAATTTTGGGTCCGATTCACAAGTTTGTTCTACTCTTCATAAATTGGTCGAACACAGTCATTCCTTTGTTTTTTTTCTTTCTACCAACGCCGGCTATTTGAAAATAGCAATTTATTACCTGGTAAAATATGAAATTAGATCAAGAAAATTGATTTAAAAGAAAACAAAGATGAAGAAGTTTACGTAGGATCTAGAAGACACAATGGCCCTTAAACATATTTCTGAAATTAAAACTATTTTATGAAAAAGTGTTATTCGAGTCATTCTACCTCGTCAATTACTGATCGCAACTAAATCTTGCCCATCCTGTAGATTATAATAGGAGGAGACTCGAAAATACATGTTTTCACAAAGTACACGACCATTGACAAAGCAAGATATGACAAAAGTGGAAGATATGAAACACTAACAAATGCTAACAAAAGTGGAAGAGCAAAAATGCTCAAATATTATAGCGACTGAATTTGTGCTATATGAGAATATATATTTGATGCTACTATTTCAAGGATACGGACCGATCTATGATTTGGTTGTCTGAAATTGAAATGGGGATTTGAAGAGAGACTATGTCCAATGGAGGAAGCACTGGCTTCCCATTTTGCCCTTCAAATTGTTGAGGTCCATTAGCTACTACTATTGTAGATCTCAGATGCGTCGAAGATAACCCTTAAGTAGCATTTTGCTCTCACCTATGCCGAATGGTCGTGGCCCTGAAGTTTGGCTAAACTACAACATTATCAAAAGTGGTAACCGTGGAAGGTGTTTCTCATCATAAAAAACTGTGCAGATTGAAGGTATCTAAAAGACCACATATGTATTTTTATATTTTACATTTCAATTACGGATAGCCAACCAACTTATCCTGCATAATCTTGCATTTTCTTAAGGAATCTACATACTATAACTTGATCTACAAGAAAAGAACTTGGCAATCTAACCTCGCCGGTGGCGAGTAGCGAATAAATGGAAATGCAATGCTGAAAGATAGAACTTGGAAGATGATGATAAGCATTCAAAAGGACTACATACTCCAATGACAAAATAATTTACAAAATAACATCAAAATTGTAAACATTCTACGATGTGAACTTCAATAGATCCTAACCAACAGTAGAAGTGGGCCAAAAAGACCAGCCAAAATTGACCAAAAGAACCGTAAGTCCTTAAAACCTTACAAAGAGTCAAAAGACCTAACAAGAAATTGACTTTTTTAGAGACCAAATGTGATGAGAACTGTACTGCTTCATGCAGATAAATAAACTTGAAAGGAAACTCATATAATAAGAGATGGGGGGAAGGCTCATTCCAAATCTCCTACCTCAACTTGGACCATTTCAAAGAAATCGGAGGAGGACCAAGCCTCGGCCTCCCAAAAGTTATTTTTGCCTTCGTTCGCTTCCTCTCATCCTCGCTGTCCGACTCGGCCCCCTTCTCTCTATCAGCATTGCTTGCTTCCTCTCCAACTCTTCCCATGTTTTCCCCTTCTCGTCGTCCGAGTCTGCTTAGGAGACATCATCATCCTCATCTTCTGATTCCACCAAGGATGCACTGTCAGAATCCTCTTCTTCAAACACAGACTCTGGCTCGCTTCCTGAAGGCTGATACCCTTGGTCCGACTCTGCTGAGTCATCAGACTAGAAATTAGTAGCCTCCAGGTTTAAAAACTCCTAGCCGCCATTGTCTATGAAGCTCTGAGGATCGTCAGTAATCGTCTTTAGTATTTGTCGCCAATTCAAGTTCACCCTGCTCTCGTAGAACTTTATCTTGATTGCATCCAACCAATGCTTGATGCCTTCAAGTGCTGTGGAAAGGATCAAATCGATTCACATTACAACCTTCTTGAAGTCCTTGAACACGATTGTCATGTCGAAATTCTTCTACCTGAGGCTGACCCTCTCGAGATTCACTATCTCAATCTCTGCTAGTGTGATGACAAGGAAAGGCGTCTCGATCAACTCAACGAGGCATGTTGAAGCCGAGAAGATGTATGCAGAGGACTTGTAAGGCACGCCATGGAACTCGAGTCATCTCTGATGCTGATCAAAGTCAAGGCCTAAAGCATCAAACTGAGTACCCACCCATAGCTCATTCACACGAGTCGCAAAGCTTTCAAACTCGTTGTCTATTTTATTCTTCTTGAGTTTCTCCCTTTTTTCTTCTTCAATCTCGTCAGGGTCATAGGCTGATCTTCTTCCACCTCCAATATTTTGCACTTGATCCATAACCTCCACATAGAACTGAACATCCTTGATCTTTTTATTACCAACCATTATATGGTTGTGGTCTTGTGGAGATGGAAATGGATGAGGGTGATCATCTCATTCTCTCCAGGCTGGAAAAGTGCATGCTTGAGTTAGCAAACATAATATCGAATCGTTCATCTTGTCTTGAAGTGGAGTAGCGGAACCCATTGAGATGAGCTTTAAGCGTTCCGGGTTGCTTCCTTCCGCAACCATGAAAAACAAGGTGAATCCAAAGATCAGACAGTTTGATTGGCTTGGACCTATTATTAGCTAGCTGCAACTTTTCTTGGGAAACCAAGGTTGCCATCTCAACTCTCTCCGACTCCCTAGCCACCACCTGCCGCCTAAGAGTTCTAATCAACTATACGACCTCAATTATATGCCTCGCATCTTTGGACCGGAAGGAAACCTCCTTCAGATAGATAGCCCCTGTATATTTCGCAGAATTGGCATCTTGTTGGCTGAATGGGGTCCCAGGAAAATTGAAAATTATCCTAATATAACAGTTTCTATTGGTATCCTGCTGGCTATAGACAGTCCTATTGTGGCAACATGGAAAGGTACCATACTACCATAAATTGGCAACAGAATAGCTTCATTCTTCTAATCAACCAAAATCATTAATTCTCTAGGAGGAGGCAGATCATTCACTGTCTTGTAAGCTACCAAATCAGATGTTGATCTTGCAGCGCCACGATTATTCCGCGACCCATCTCCACCACCCACAAGCCGCCTAGCAGTTTCCTCATTTTTCTCTTGAGCTAGCAAAGCTTGATGCTGCCTCGAACTTCCTCTTTTGAAACCTCCTTATTGTCATACCTAAGAGCTACCTTAGACATCTCGGGATTTTTTTCCCAAACTACCATCCTTTAAAAAAAATTACAAAAGTACCACCCAATACAACAAAATTCCAAAACTATCACCATTAAACATAAAACGCGCCTCGTAGGCGCGGTTCTCATTCAAACCGTGCGGGCAAGAGGCAGTTTACCATTAGGCAGCTGCAAAACCGCACCTCTACGTGGCGGTCCATGCAACCGTGCGATGGGCAGGCGATCTGACGGCTAACCGCCTGCCAGCGGAGCGATCTGCGTCGCCCAATGATAACCGTTGCCGGAGGGCGTGGTTTGCGCGTCGGGAAAAGCAAACCGTGTGCTCTGATACTAGTAAGGACGGAATAAGACAGCCAATATGAGATTAACTTGAAAATAGTTTGTAAAGTAAATGATACTGGAAATGACCAGATTAGCAAAAAGTAAATACTGGAGATGACCAGTTTTGCATAAAATAAATACTGGAGATGACCAGTTATGCACGAAATAAATAAAAGTTGAAGATGATTTGAAAAAGATGAAGTAAAACTTGATAGTTTGATAGACTTCTTACATACGAATTCTTGAGAGAAGATGTTGGGAGGAAGCTTTGCAAGAGAGCGATTCCCACTCAAAACAACTCTGCCTACAACAAGTGAAGGGAGTCTCCTTTTATAGAGAAATGGAGTCCCCTTTTGGTAAATAAATTGAAAACATAATGATGACAATGTGGACACTTATATGATTATGTCACATGTCATAACAAAATTACATTTTTAATATAAAGAAAAATAGATAATTTGTGGTCTTCTTTCCATAACCAAATTGAGTGGGTTGGAAGTGGAGTCACTTCTTCTTTGTCTTTGTGGTAGTGGAAGAAGCAATGGGGTCACTTCTTCTTTTGTCTTCAACTTAGTGCTCTTTGTTGGCAAAGGACCAAGCACTTCTTCATCCGGGTCATGGTTTTGGAACGTGGAATCTGCGTCAGATGTTGAGCTAGACGCCACATCTTTGAGAATTTGGAAGTATTCTTCTTCAGTCTTGGCGCCAGCTAAGAGAGCGCTGATTGAGGATTTTGTTTGCAAAAATTGCATTGAGGATTTTTCGATAACTTTGGACAATTCATGATTGTTATTGAACCATTGGAGGACTTGAGGTTTGTAGGCTTGTTCTGGGCGAGGATTTGCAGCCCAATATTTGGTTTTGAAGTTGCGGCCTAACATCGGTACCTTTGTGACGGCACATGTTTGGTAACTGAATTCCCAAGCAGTAATCCAAGGAACTTTGATGTAGTAACAAAATTTGACGAGGGGGAATCCTGGACCAGAATATTTTTGACAGAAGGTTTGATATCCCTCTTGTATCTCAGTTGGATAGATACTTTCAGTTGGCCCAAAAAGATCCCACCAGTGCATAAACCAGTTGGGGAAAATAATGGGAGTTTTGTAATCCCAGAAAAAACTCCAGGAGTGTCGGTACATATGGTTTTTCTTGAAGAAGGCATTAATCCAAGCTTCATGGTAATCCCAGTAATTGAAGGATTGGCAGATTTGCGGGTGGTTAAGAGCAATAGTAGCAGGGAATTTTTGGTTGGTGTTTGGGCTAGTAGGCCATTGGCGAGGGTGGATAATTTGGCCTACTAGCAAGCAGTTCTTTTTTGATTGAGCAAATCATGCTGAAATTTTGAGATGCATAAAACAATAGCAAGCAGTTCTTTTTTTACAGTGGAGTTATTGATTTGGGTAGGGTTCCAATGCTTAGAAGTAAAGCGTACCAACAACTCCTTATCATTTTGAATCTGCTTAAGGATTCCTCCATATCCTAGGTCAGAGGCATTGGTTTCGACGATTTAAGGGAGAGAAGGATCACTTTTGTGAAGGCACGGGAGACTCTGAACCTGCCTCTTAATTTGTTGAACTATTTTGGTATGTTGGTCACTCTAGGGAGGGGGACTCTTTTCAATCTATCATGGAGAGGTTTACAAAGAAGATTGATGTTGGGATAAAAGTCAAGGACATAGTTTAAACTACCCAGGAACCGTTGTAATTAATTTTTGTCTAAAATTTGATCATGAAATTTATCTGCAAATTGAAGAGATCTTTCAATTGGAACAATTGTTCCTTGACTAATGTAGTGACCCAAAAAACGTAGCTTAGTTTGAAAAAGACAAAGTTTTGGTTTAGAGACAGCCAGACCGTTACGTCGAGTCACTTCAAGAAATAAATTGAGATATTTGAAATGTTGGTCAACGGACGAAGAAAAAACCAGCACATCACTAATATAAACTATTATGAAATCAAAATAAGGAGAGTAGATTTGATTCATAATTCTTTGAAATTCTGAGGGAGCATTTTTTAAACCAAACGGCATGACGTTCCATTCATATTGGCCAAAGGGAACGGTAAAAGCAGTTTTATAGCGGTCTTTTTCTTTGATTTGGATTTGCCATATCCGGATTTCATGTCAAATTTAGAAAATATTAGGGACTGTGAAAATTTCTGGAGTAGATCCTTTTGGTTAGGGATAGGATACCTAATCCATTTCAGAGCCTTATTCAACGGTTTGTAGTTTATAACAAGACGAGGAACGCTATGTTCCTTTTCTACATTATTAATGACATAGAAAGCAGAACAACTCCAAGGGGATTGGCTAGATTTGATAAGGCCCTTTTTGAGCAATTCTTTAATTTCTTGTCGAAAATGGTTTTCAAGGTACGAATTCATTAGGATAGGCCTAGCATTGGTGGGAATGAGATTTTCTGTGAAAACTTTTTCATAAGGAAGATCAACCTGATGTTTTTTTTTATGCCAAAAAGCATTGGGTGTATCAGCACAAATTGATGAGGACATCAATGGGCCAGTCACACGTGCTAAGGCAAGGACGTTGAAGGAGAAGCTTGCGACATATTTGGAGAGCTACTTTGGAGCCATGGACGTGGAGCTATTTCGAGGGAAGCCATATATGACGATTCGAGTGGAGGAAGAAGGAGGAAGTGTTGAAAAGAAGGCAGATTGCAAGAAGCAGCCTTAACGGGTCCAGCCTTAACGGTTTGGGCTTAACGGGTCCAGGCTTAACGGGTTTTGTAACACCCTACCCTATACGGTTTGCCTAATGATATTGTTCATACAATTGCAGCGGAATTAATCTCGGGTGTTACATTAATTACCAAAAATTTATCCAAATAAAATTTCGACATGAATTACTCGCGTAATGGGCTAACAGTTCTTGCAACTTATCCTGCAAAATAATTCATCACAAACATATATACTCACAACCATATACATTGGCTTTTCCTAGCCATAGTCACAGTTTCATACTCCACAACTGCATACCATACTTATACATACCATAATCGTCACAACTTACACAGTTACACAACATATACACATATCATCATCTTTCCACACCTGTGGATATCTCACACTACATCAGAAGCTAGTATGCACATGAAAAACGTTCTCAGAACATTTTTACAAAAATGTGTGGATCACTGGCCAAAATCCCGAGTAGTAGTCCAAGCACAGAATGGTTGCAGACCATACCTCATCTTGGCTTCAACTCTAGCTCCTCTCCCACCTAACACTTATCTACTGCTGCTGCTGATGATCTGCTTACACATAGCATAAGCAGAGAAGAAGAATAAAAGAGGGTCAGCTCATAGCTGAGTGAGATAATCATAGCATCGTGAGTTCATAACAGAGCATACCCCTATCATACATCTAGCAAACAAGCCAAAGCACTGGGATCAGATCTCAGCTCTCCGACATCCCAATAGGCAAAAGACTCAGCCACCTTGACTTATGCATATGCATCTTATCATGTTTTACTTATAGGCGCCTGGCTACTCCCATGCTAATAACTCTCCCGGGAAACATACCCCTCATCCCGTCGGATGTAGTCATACATACCCCAACATCCCGTCGGATGTGGTCATACATACCCCACACCACTATGGGTGTAGTCATACCCCGACACCGCTCTGGGTGTGGTCATATCTCGTAAGAATTCTTCAGTCACCACCACATGAGAGGTGTGACTATCATACATATCATAATAGAGTAATAGCATAGGGAGCCCTAATTACTATGTAGTTGACCGTGAGACCACAACACTCAATTTGGTATCCTTATACATGATTCATATCTCATCTTGCTAAATCATAATTCATTACTTGCACATGTACTTGACCAGGCCACAATTGGCACAACATAGGTAAATCAGGAGTCGTATAATTGCACTTCCTCGGGATAAACCCTCGTGCAAGTAATCCTCCTTAAACATCATAATATCACCAGATAATATATATTTTCCCACTTGTGCATCCAAATACAACAATCATGAAAAATCATACCTAATCACCTTCTCGAACCATTGTAAAGCATATTAATAGTCAAGCCCAAAATTTACAACATATACATAATCATCAGCATAAACAAGGTTCATATCGATTAGGGCAAGTCAATAATATCATACAGCAATCCAGGGTTCAACATATAGCACAAAAGTTCATACACCCCTAATCATGCCATTCTAGTTCACCTAGATCAATTCTAAGCATCAATATATTTATCGTGATACGACAAACCTGGTATGCCGTGCTAATCCCTCACCAGTTCTGGTCGTTCAAACACCGGTTCTAGCCTCCGGTACTAAAACATCAATTTCACGAACGAACCCCAAATTAAAATCCGAGACCGTCCTAATATCCCCTGCAGTATCCCCGTCAATATTAGTTCTGGGCTCCGGGTCAAATTCTCGATGAAAACACATCAAACCCTGGTCGGAGCTAAATTCAGCGGTTTGGACCCCGGCCTAATTAATAGCCGAAATTCAAGGATTAGAACTAGGGGATTGATTACCTCGTTGCAGGAAGCTCGTATATGAAATTTGGGCTCAATCCGGCTTCCGGATACTCCGAAACCCTAATTTGGCTTATCGGGAATTCAAGAAATTCCTGAACCAAAAACTCGTTTTAAAGCTCTAAATCGATAAATCACGATGAATAGATGAATTAGGCATTACTTACGGGATTTTTGGATCACTAGAACTGGAGAATCAAACACTGAGACTTTTCCTTGTCCCTGCCCTGAACTCCTCTGTTCGCTCTCTGCTTCTCAATAATTTTGGTCCGAGCGTTTAGAAAAGGAATAGGGAAAGTGATGGATTAGTATGTAGATATATAAATAAATGGAAAGTGGTTTTGGCCGCCTACTAATTATATATATATATATATATATAATTAATACGTATACTTATCCGATCGATCGATAATCCGATTTTCGCTGAAATAGTGTCGACATGCTCGATTTTAAATCGCGAACTTTCTAGCGATCGAAATATGGGAGACGAGTGGAAGACTGCGTTTAAGATCAAGCAGGGTCTATACGAATGGATGGTGATGCCCTTTGATTTAACCAATGCTCCTAGCACGTTCATGAGGTTGATGAACCATGTTTTGAGGCCATTCGTTGCCAAGTTCGTGGTCGTATACTTCGACGACATTCTGATCCTCCGATCATCTCAATCACTTGAGAGAGGTGTTGGCGATGTTGAGAAAGGAGAAATTGTATGCTAACCTCAAGAAGTGCTCGTTTTGCACTTCTAGTGTTATTTTCCTTGGTTTTGTGGTGAGTGCAGATGGAGTCA